TAGACAACCACAGAAATTTACTAGAAAAGGATTAACATAGGCTCCAAGCCTTCTATCCTCAACCAATAAATCTGAAATCTGAATCTGATATTCATACGTCAAGTTCTTGTGGTTTTTCAAGCCTAACCGCTTTGTTTTTGGTCGCCTGTCTCAAAAGGTTTTTGAAGTAGAAAATATTGCATATATCAATGTAAAAAATTTAGTAATCTCCTGATCATCTACCAACTGCTCTAACCTTTTCAGTAATCTGGTTAACAACTGCTGAGGTAGACTGTGCGTCTACACTAAGGATCGCAAAAACTACTTCCGAGCCTACTCAGATGCACACTATTTAAAGTGAATCTCAGTGTGGTTAAAGCGACCAAGAGAGATTCTAATGGCAGTTACTTGATAACATATAATGTTAGACCCGTTTACATTCTGCTGTCGGAACTATATGCTATACTGTATGCATTTGACCTGAATAATATGTACATCATGTGAGCATAAATTTCATTATAAACCGCCTGAATTTCATCGAAGAAATTCGTGGGTGAGGCATTTATCAAACATAAACTAATGTTCACCCTAACAATATTCCAGGTATTGGATATTGAATGGTATTGTTTGAGGGAATGACAAACCATGACGGGTCTTCTGTGAATCTCTAGTCGTTTTGTTTGGTATTTTCTTGCGGGTATGTTTAACGAATTAGTTCCTCATTTTAACCACTGATTATAAAATTGCGTTTACTTCTAAATCAAACATATTTGCTCTTGATCTTCCCGCAAGATCGTGATTTCTCCGTTATGGGTTTTTAAGCCTGTAGCCGAGTTAAGTTAGTTGCTACTGTTGCTATAGTTGTTGCTTCGAGTTATTTATATTTCAGTCTGTAATAAGATCAGGGAACAGGGTTTGTTAGAAAATGTAGTGATTGCAGCGGTAATGAATCAATTGGTGTAACAAAACACAGTCGTTAATCTCGGTACTTATCCATGGCATCTGAAACGGCCACGAATTTTATGGTGGTTGCTGGAATGTGATATAGAACTACTTCCTATTACAGTTTACTTTGGTTTAATTTGAGTCGCATCGCTATATGCCTTTTATGACTGAAGGATGCTAAGTGACTTAGTGGCTACTTAATTCGGCCGTGACGTTTGCCGAACTATTAACTCCGTTGGTTGTCCTCCCAGGTTTTGTAAAAAGTAGGCCTCAGAAACAGATTTCTGTTTCCAGCTGATCGACTTATAGTGCTAAATTATTCTGTTGACCTTCAAATGCTTTTCGTAAAACAAGTACTTACTGCACTGCTTATTGTTCATGTATGCTCATGCTTCTCAAATCATTATACTTTCCATTCTTAATCAACTTTATTGTCAAGTTCAACAGTTCTATCTACAGCATCATTTGTTACTTAACAGGAGAACACGAAAACTGTTAATATTCATATCCGTAAGTAGAACTAATCTTTTAAAGGTTACTCAAGCATACTAGTCATTATGGTTAGCAGTAAGTTCAGTAATAAAGTATTGGTAGTAATATCCCATAGTCGTATTGTGTATTCTAAGGTCATCTCACACTTCTGTGTCATCCAGTAGACTGTATATTTCTGTCACATGTTATTCCCTAAAGAACAGTTCGCTTTGTCTGTACAAGTGTTATAAGCTCTTTAGAGGTGATTTTTTCTCATTCCTGGTAAGCAAATCAATCTGATAACATCTTTTATGATAACCAAAGTCAAATGTATTAAGTTCATCTATGTGAGACGTGGTAGGAAGAGTTCAGAATCGTTAAGAAATTATTATTATTATTTCCTTTAATTCCTAGAGGAACATAGGGCTTCAGCCGTGCATCTCCATTGCGTTCGGTTCACTTCTAGAGTCTTCACCTGGCTCCAAGTCTGCCCACACGTTTTCATCTCTTCACATGACCTCCTCCAAGTCACCCTTGGACAACCAACTCGCCGCCGTTAAGAAATTTCTGACTATTTATTGACTCTTGCTTCATTGTAGTTCATTGTTTCCTTTTTTACGGAAGTTTTTATTATCTTAGTTTCTCTCATGTATAAGTGTTCAAGCTGTTTAAATCTCTTGTGGTTACCGCTCAGTTAGCATTTAGAAATAATAAGAGGTGTATAAGTTTTTTTGGTTCGTTTTGTGAGTAGTCACCATTGACATCCACGGTGTATAGTATTGTTCAACTTGATTGTGATGTTAGTGAGTCCCGACCCTATCATTCACCGAAATTAACAACTTATCAATTTTATATTTTTAGTCATGCCTACAGATCAGGTCTACCGTAAGTCAGGAAGCCCTCAGGCTTCTACCGAAGTCTCTTCTTTGCAACTCAATCGGACTAAAAACAAAGAAGGTAAGTGAACTTTAATCAATAAAGCTTCTGTATTATTCATAGCTCTCGAAAAAAGTCTTAAATCCAGACGTTCGGTAAAGGAGTTAGTCAATCAGGGGATATTGTTAAATCGTACGTTTTACCAATGTATACAACTTTTATTTCATTATAGCTTCAATTTCCCATCCTGACAAAGTTCGGCAGCTACAAAGAGCCAAGGTTTTTTTTAAAGTGTTCTTTTCTTTAGTGCTTTTTTGTAGACCAGCGATTTGTTAAAAAGAAAAATTGAACAAAGACCAGATAGGCAGTACCTTATCAGTCATCATATTTTACGAGGTAAGGTTTTCCACACCATAATTTATTAGTATAGATGATAAACCGGGCACTTCACCTTTCATACTTGAACAGTGTCACAATTTAGAGAAGTCACAGTTGAAGGAAACACTCGCTACTAAGCTAATCTCCCGACCTGGTTCTTTGGAGCTGGTTGAAAAAGGTGTTCTCCAGGTAACTTAATATAATTATAGGGCAGGTGAATAATAATGCTCATCTGTCGTCATTACCATTATGATATCTTTTGTCTGACAATGTACTTTAATTAAAAAATCGTTTAGGTTTCCTACCATAAAGTCTGAATAAGTTTCAACATAGGATTTTGCACAGAACTGCAGGGGTTCAGATCCAAATAGCACACAAAGGTAGAGAAAAGAAAACAAAGAAATCCAAAATAATTATGACAAGTAGAAATATACACCAGGAAGAATAGTAATGTTACAAAGTGGCTATATTTAACCCGATAGATCGATAAGTTCATTCGCTCAGTGCATTATTTCATTATGTAAGCTTAAGACCAACATAAATTTATACAGCAGCAAACTGCTTACATTTCTGTGCAATTATACCATTTAAATTTCGTTTGATATATCACCGGATTAGAAAATGCTTTTGGCTTGCATATCTCCAACATTTCAATGCTGTTAGACACTCTGTATATAAGAATTGGATTCATTCTTTCTCAAAAATAGTTATGCGGATATAATTATTATTATCTTGTTATTGAAAAATCCAATTTGTGTGACCATCAGCAGTCCTGCATAATTAATAACGTTAAAAGCTTATTATGTTCTTCAGCAAAATATTCAGCCAAGATTTCACAGCTCTGTACATTGAATGTTAATTAGTTTTCAGGTAGATCCTCACCTAGGTTTCATTATTTTTAACACTGATTGGCATTTACTTGCAACTTTGCGAAGAATCATATTCTCTACGAGATCCAAACTTGCTTTGCTGGATATCGTAGCTAGTAATTTTAGCATTTTAGGAATTGGATTGTATTTGTGAATAAGTCATCAAACGGTAAGTGGTGTATATGGAATTGCAGGTATGTCTATCGAAACATGCTGTGGTGAGAGATGGTTGCTAGCCAAATTGGTTGACAGTAATTGAGGTCAAAGGTCAAGATGGACAGGCGAATACAGTTAACATATAGATGAACTGACACAACCACAAGAGATGCAAGGTTAACTTTGTGTGAAAAACAACCAATCAGCAGACTGTATTTTCTACTAACATTAACCTACAATAATGTACATCAAAATCTATAAATACGTGTTGATTTTCCGTAATAAATGATCTGTTGCCTGGTCCTTGTCTTCTGTTGTTACATTTGGTGTCGCTGCCTACCGACAAATGGAAAGCCTATGCCCTGCAGTTTTTGATGGAGATATATGGATATTTGGGCAGGACTTCGAGGCTTCTGTGCAGTTGAGTGGCGTTCAACATCTGTCAGCGATGAAGCTGCTACTTGGGACGCTGCTGTGAGGTCGGGAGAAAGCAGCATATTAAAGTGTGAGGCGAAATACCGACGAATGTGTGACAGGGTCAGGCAAACAGTTTCCAAAGTGGGAAGGACCACATTTGGTCACGTTGAGATGGGGTTACGCAGACACAATCGCAATGGTAAACACAGAGAAACAGGTGAACATCTACAAGCGCCGAGATTGCAGACAGCAACACAAAAGAGCAAAGCCTCTAGAACCAAGAAGACCAAACCAACTTCAGTCGCAAGTCTTTGACGGGGGGACGAGTATGGTGAGAGATGGTTGCTAGCCAAATTGGTTGACAGTAATTGAGATTAAAGGTCAAGATGGACAGGCGGATACAGTTAACATATAGATGAACTGACACAACCACAAGAGATGCAAGGTTAACTTTGTGTGAAAAACAACCAATCAGCAGACTGTATTTTCTACTAACATTAATCTACAATAATGTACATCAAAATCTGTAAATACGTGTAGATTTTCCGTAATAAATGATCTGTTGCCTGGTCCTTGTCTTCTGTTGTTACAATGCTAGTCGGTTTTACAACGTTTCTACGAACCTGAAGATATAAAACTGCTTCAAATCCGTGTCGTCTTATATAGCGATAGACAAACCAACTGCAGTATTATGTTAACACAAATCTGTTGGTATTTTACGCGTTAAAGGTATTTTAAGTATTGTTAAATTTACCCACCAACAATAAAAAAGAGATATAGTGTCTAATATATCCTGCAAGTGGGTAAGGTTTTCCTTTTTATAAGAGTCGTCATTGTCACTGCTCAGTTACTTCCACTTTCTATTTTGGTTTATAGTTCCTTTCCTTTCTCAAATTTTTCCAACACTAGGTGGACCCTGGAGTTGACTCACTTATCAGACAAGGTTCTATTCAATATCCTAGAGTGGAGCCAACTTTTTCAGATAGGATTTCAAGTGATCGACTACAACCTATTCAAGAATTAACTAATATACCACCACCACCTCCACTTTCACTGAGTACAAAGGTGCATAATAATTCTGGTCGCGTTGCTTCTGGGCGAAGTCGTCTGAACAGTTCAAGCAAGTCATCCAGTAGTCGGGCGATTCGGGATGACACAGTTGTTTCCAAACTAGGATCATTAGTCTTTCATCAGTACTGTCCGGACTCTTCGAGTTCATCTTCTCCTAGCCTCTCAAATGTCTCGTCATTTCAGCAGAAACAAAGAGTTCGGGAATTACAACAGGCTGAAATGTTACGTCTGCAGGATACTGCGCGTGCTCATCGGTTGGTTGAACAAGAACTGTGTCAGCGCGTGGGTATAGCATGCGAGAAACCACCACCAAAAGACGATGTTTCTGTAGATTTCACATCGGATGTATCCCTCGATGATCAAACAGATAGTCAACCAGCACTTCCCTATAAATCAAACTTGATATCAATGCAAGTTGCTCAACCTGTTTCAAATGGCTTGCGGACTAACACATCAAAAGTTCCATCATTCGATTTAAATTTCAGCTCACCAAGTTTGACTCACCTTACACTTGCTCAACTTAAAGGTGAGTGCAAGGAGAGGAATCTACCTCGTGTTGGTTCTAAAATGCAGTTAATGCGGTTGTTAAATCCTTATCGCCATGAAATCTTAGCAAAATATTTTCCTGATTACGTTGTGCCAAACGATGAAGAAATCAAAACGGATTTAAATGAGTCCTGTCAACCATCGAGTCATCATGATATCATACAAACAAAAGCCTTCTTTCAAAATCCAGATTCTTGCCTTCAACAGGAATTAGGCCTACAACAAACACTTATGGTAAATCATGAGCAACAACTGATGCGTGTCAATTTCCAAGATTTCGAGTCATCACTGCTACCGCACACTAAACCTTTAGGCATGTGCACTTCAGTATTTTCCTCCGGATCAAATTTGCCAAAAGATGTACAAGTATATTCTGATATGGTTATCGGGACAAATTGCTCTAATGTGTTAATTGCTCAACCTTGTGTTCCTTTAAGACATTCTGTTTCTGCACCATTTTTTTCAGAAGTTGCATCTAATTCATCCTCAAGTGAGTCTTTGCTTTAAATAACTTGAAATTAATGGTTGTGTTGAGAATTATATAAGGTTGTTACTGCTATATTATTATCATTACTATTATTATTATTATTATTATTATTATTATTATTATTATTTCAGAATGCTTTGTTGTGTTTTGCTGAATCCAAAATTATGCCAATGGAGTTCGTCTTCAGATGGACTCAAACCATGTTTAGTTTTATTATTTTGCTGTATGATGGCATTAACATTTAAGGTATTCATATCAAGAAACAGAACAATTCTAAAAACCTTGTCCATTATTAGGTCTTCTCATTTCGTTGGCTACGTGAGCAGCCTTCGCAGTCTCGTACATTGTACAGACATTCTACGTCCCCATTCTTATTCTTGCTTTCATCTCGAGAGGACACATAGGCTGGCTGACTGGCTTCCAGAAGGCTTTCACCAGCCCGTTGCGTAATTTCGCCTCTCCGATTTCAGCGAAGAATAAGTTTGTCTTTTATATTTTTTGTGCGTTAAAGTTTCTGTAGCAGTTTGATAGCTTTTTTAGTGTAGGGTTGCTAACCCCACCCCCACCCCTCCCTCCTTACCCGGGCTTGGGACCGGTAACAACAACTAACAACAATCATCATCAACGGGAGAGATTTAACAGAGGTTGCATCCTTCACTTATCCGGTTAGGAAGCATCGTTCCAACTACAGGCGGAACGGATGGATATGTCAAAGCCAGTCAGAATCGGAAAGGCAAGATATACACGACTTCATCAACCTGAAACCAGTTTGGAAATCTTCCGCTGTCACTCAGCATAAGGAACAAGATTCGCATTCTCAACACCAATGTGAAGTTGGTCCTTCTATGTCACGAAAAGGACTTCCGACAGCCAGTTACAGACTTTTATCAACAGCTGTCCGCTTCGCCAGCTCCATAATGAACATCAAATGGCCAGCCGGCTGGTCGGAAAGAATTAGCGACAAGAACCTCTGGCTGGCTGGGAACAAACCAACCACGAGCCGATTGCTCAACAAATATGTAAGAGAAAGTGGAGATGGATCGTGTATACATTGAGGAGGCCGTCGAATGACATCGCGCGCAGTGCAGGCCATCGTTCGAATGGAATCCAAATGGGAAGCGACGAGTGGGTCGTCGATGAGAGTGTGACATGGAGGAGATCTTTTGGGGAGCAGGAGGAGGAGGAGATGAGAGATTGTGGGCAGTCCTGTGGCTAACCAGCTGAAGAGGATGGTAGAAAATAGAATGAAGTGGAGATTTGTTGTGGAAGCCCTATGTTCCACTCGGAACTCAAGCGAATAATCATATATAATAATATAATTATTAGGTCGTAAATATTAATATTGACTCGTAGTGTTTATAAGTTAGACAACGCGTCTTCTGATTGTCAATAAATTACGCTTGCCTATAGAAGAATTGTCTGCATTTCTGTTTTGATTGCTCTGCATATGTATGTGGTTATTAGCTTTATTGACGGTCAACAAAAATTCAGATAGAAACTTGCAACATTTGTCACTCATTCTGTGTTTCTGAAATCAGTGTGAAATGCGTCAAAGTAGCGAGCGAAAGCGAAACCAATTATATTATTGATAAATGATAAATGACAACAACAGTAGTGAATGGTTGGTTAAAGAGATAAAAAAAAGTAGGACTATAATTTAACTTTCAGTTGGATTTGAAAATTTGCAATTTACATGCAGTTCGAGAAGGTGGAATTTCATTCACTACAATATCCTTTGAAGATCTAAATTATGCAAATAACGACATGTTTTATCCGCTTGATATAATAATTGGCAATCAAGAAAAGCAACCAGTCAGCACTATATCAGTGTCATGCGTTTTTAAGTATTTAACCTATATATATTACCTACATATTCCTGCCATCTCATCTCTGACTCAGCGTTACACCTACGTGTAGTAGGTTGGAGAAGGTGGTAGGCGACTCTGTTGCCTTTCAAAGGACAATAATTAGTGTTTGTCATCTCGGTGACCAGATTGCTGATATTGGTTGAATTGCATGTAGTGGTTTTCAGACGCTAACGCCTTACTTGAGTTTACCTTCTAAGTTTGGTTAAGTGCTATGTGTGCTGCTGCAGGACGTTGTACAGAATTGTATCAGTTGAAATTGTCACCCCTAAAGAATATATATATATATATATATATATATATATATATATAGGGAAAAATATTTTCAAGATCGATCCTTATAACCCTCTTTATGGTTTGGCTTTCTGTTTCTGTAATTAATTTAAAGGTCTATTTTGGGCACTGTGGTAGAATATAATTCCCTTCCTAAATAAGTTTATCTGATGTGACGCATAGTGATAGTGTCGATGATTAGATGACGTTTCGAGCACAATTTGTCATATCGTATTAGTGTGATATGATTTGATTATAAGAAATGAGAGTTGTGCTCGACACGTCATCCAGTCATCATCATCAACACCGTCACCACTGATTTATTATACCAAATAAAATTATCTAATGTGGAATTGCTGCCGGTGAATCTGAAACACATCTGGGCTATTATGTACTCTCTTCTCTAACAGTAAAAATCCACTGTCAGACCTCCACATAGGCGCAAGTAGCTTAAACCATGTTAGTGTGTACGGTTAACCGTATCGCAACATAATCAATCTCTTAGTGTTGTGCGAACTCAAAAAAAATCGTTTTTACAGTTAGTATAGTTCATTGAAGTATTGTTGTGAGCTAGCCGAACAGCTATATAATGGTGGTCGCCCACTTTCGGGAGTTTAATATTAAAGTAACACTAATCTGCATCTCCCGTGTTAAGTGGTATAATACGGTGAGCAATATTGAAGTGAGGCATCGGTCGAGCGCTAGGTAAGGAGGGGAAATCAGTCGACAAGGCTGTGAAGCTACATTGACTGAGATGGCTGGGACATGTGTTACGCATGCCTAGCCATCGCCTTTCTGGACCGATGGGCAATGCTAGCTGACATAGAGTCAGTGGTGGTCAAACCAAAACATGGCCTCATCAGTCAATGAAATCCACAACAGTAAGTTTAAGCCACGTAGGAAGGTGTAGACTTCCTAGTTGGCGGGTTGGGGTCCTCGGGATGGTAAACACCAATGGAGGCTGGAGACAATTGGTGATATGTCTCAAAATCGATCTCAGATGCATCCACTCCTTATGACTTGAATTATCCAATGATATAACTATTCTTTTTGCGTCATATCTCTGTTTACTGTCTCTATTTCGCATTTCCTTTTACTTTTCTTGCTTTGTGTGTAGAGTGAAGTGTGGCGACTCAAACAGGCAGACAGAATCAGATTGTCATTTTCACGCTTATTATTAGACCAAATCACTCTACGCAGTTCTCGTGCTGTTTATATTTCCGTAACTCGCATTGTTTCGTTCAAATTTTTTTTTTTTTATTTGCTTGTGTAAAATAAATCTTTTGTTTTCGCAACATTATTTCTCACTACAGCTCATACAACTCACTTCCAAATTCCTTCTACGCAAGCTACAACTCTTATACCGGTTACTTTTCTCGACAGTTCAGTGAGTGAATCAGATCGAGATGCTCAAATTCCAGTCTCATCAGTTGGTGGATTACAGCTTGCTGGAACAACAGCGAAACAATCATTTGTATGCATGACTCCGAATTCCTACCTTGATGCTCAAGTGTCTAATGCTGAATTCTGTTCGAACAGTGGAAATTCCTTGTTTCATCCATTGGTAGTGACTAGCCATGTATACGAATCAAACTATGTAACATCAAATCAAAATTTCCCAATGTCCAATTCTATCGATAGTTGTTTATCATCCTGTAATAATGAAACACGCAATGCGCATGTCATTCCTGCACAGAGTTCCTCTGACAACCAAACCCCCGTGTATTCACAGTTAAATGCTTCTGGTTCTCCACAGTTAACAACACTTCATCAAATTGAAGAGATGTGGTTAAGAATTCGACAGCTAAGACGGAATATCGCACAGGTAATGTTAACAAGTTGAGAACAGCTAGGCGATATATATATATATACATATCTATAAACATACTTGTAAATTCAGATGCATATTTTTTTCAGTAACACAAATTTATTGATCTGTTGGAAGAAATTTCTTCTAGTTGTAACTTTTTTCTCTGTATAATTCTGGTAGTTCATTATTGGGTCCTTATATTGCCAAATAACAATAACACCGAAAGTAATAACAATGATTCGTATGTCGTAAATAGAGTTATGCTTAACAAAATGGTATATATATATATATATATATATATATATATATATATATATATATACTGACGTGTGTTGCACACATCAATGCTATTCGTATGCCTTTGTGTGAAATATTTGCACTCAATTTCAAACTGATCGAATGGGAATTATATCAGAATCAGTATTTCATATGAGCGTAAAGTTAATTCATCAAGTGGATCACGGAATTCACTTGATTTTATATTAGAATGTGATCATTTCTCCATATTGTTTTTGTTTATTGGATATATCACACAGTCAGTGTAATAGTATTATTATTATTAACTGGATGACAATGTTTCGAACACAATTTTTTGTGGTTCATAATCACATTGCCAATTATAATCACACGACTTCGAAACTTGAGTTTTATAGTTTCCTTTGTTCTCTCTCTCCTAATTGTCGTCGTTGGGGTAGTAGAATTTTCCAGATATCTGGGTGGACAGGTGTTGAATCATTCCTATTACACGTATTCTCTCTCAGTTGATTCGATAAACAAAGCTTCTGTTATCAATCTCTCCCTCCACTCAGCTGTTACATTAGGTTTTAAAACTGTCATCTTATCCCATCCATCCTATTGTATGGTTGAGTGTAACTGCACGTTTAGTGAGTGCTGTAGCTGAACTATTCTCCAGATTTCTTGTCTTATTCACTAGGTTATCATTTTTACTGTCGATGTAGCCAAGACCTTTGTCAGTTTATTAACCGAAGCACTATTCATGCATTAGATTGTGCAAATCAATTGACAGGATAACGTTTAACAATATTTATTGGCTTTTCTCATATATGTCGTTAGTGTAAGGAAATTGATCACATCTGTAACTGTAACTAAATATGAAAGTTATTCAAGGCTAACTGTTGACTTTCTAGACAGCATAAACGAACACCGTCTGCATTTATAGTGAAAACACCGAAGCCTGCTAGCCGGAATGATTGTATGATATGAGAGGATCGCCCGCATCTGCGCCCACAGCCGGAAGCTGTTCCAGCTCATTTCAGTCACGGGCAGAAAGCAGCTTGTCGTCAGTGAGACTCACTGTGACTTATTTTAAAAGCAGCCTGTATATGGAGTATACTAATGACCGGTTAATAATTTGCTGCCAGTTGCTTCAAAAATACTAACTGTCATTGTGCTTCTCGTGCTTTGTAAACACATGCGGAAAACTAATTCACAAATAGAGAGGAGGTCAGGTTTTGTTCAGATTGTGTTTGCGTTGACCACATTCCCACCTGCCACTTATTGCTTAAAACACCTCATCACCTGTACTTCTGGGTTAGCAGTCATTCTGTTTATTGATATTAGAGTTGCTTTGGATCTGTGAGGTCCTGAGAACCTTGTTAACTAACATTCCTTATGCAAAATCACCTTCACCACTTTTCTAAGCCATCATTGGGAATTGGCACTTATATGTAACAACAAGAAACTATGGGAACAAGCAAAACAAGAACCAATCGCCCAACAAATATGCAGGAGAAAGTGGAGATGGATTGGACACTCGCTGAGGAGGCCACTGGATGACATCGCGCGTCAGGCCATCGCTCGAGTGGAACCCAGAAGGGAAGCGACGAGTGGGACGTCCAAGTGTGGGTGACATGGAGGAGATCATGTGAAGAGGAGTTGAAACAGTATGGAACAACATGAATGCAGGTGTAAAGTACATCAGAAGACAGCAGCAAGTGGAAACGTGTAGTTGAAGCCCTATGTTCCACTAGGAACCCAAGGGAACAATAATAATAATTTATGTGTAACATTTTCTCATGTACGCTAGTTCGAATATATACTTGATAAGCACTTGTGTATACCCTGTAGTTTCTCATTAGTTCTATTTTATATAAGAATAGAACTTGTGCACTGTGGGAGAGTATAATTCGATTTGCAGTGTTATGCAGTAATGTTTACTGGTGACCACGTTTCGAGCACAAATTATCATTGCTCATGTTTATATCAAGTTACTAACACAAATTTCCTACTCTGTATATGGATTAAAATTCCAAAAAGTAATATAGGTAGGTGAAGAGATAGGGAGATAGAGAGAGAGAGGTTGACCATTGTATCTTTGTTCATCGAATAATCTACACGCAACACATTCAATAGGAATGACTCTTCACGCATACCGGAAGTATGGCGAATATAACAACCAATGAAATGAACGGATGACAAATGGTGGAACCACCATATAAACGAAGTAGGAAAGTTGTGTGAGTAATCTGATTTGATATGAATATAAGCGATGATAAATTGTTCTCGAAACGTGATCATCAGTAAATATTACTGTATAACACCATTGTAAGACTTTATCTGGACTTCACCGATGATATATGTCTGATTTCCCACAAACTGGAAGATATGCAAATGAAAAGCAACAAGTTGGCAGAAGAAGCATCTAGAGAAGATAGGACTTCAGGTGAACATACAGAAAACAGAGATGATGAAGATTCCTGGACAAGAACAGCAACAACAGACAATGATCAGCATAAATGGGAGGAACCTGAAAGAAATAACCTCCTTTACCTACCGACCTGGGAAGCATCATTTCAACTACAGGCCGGCGGAACTGACGAGGATATCAAGACAAGAATCGGGAAAGCAAGACAAGCTTTCACTACTCTCAAGTCTGTGTGGAGGTCAACAGCACTCACCATCAAAAATAAGATCCGGATTTTCAACTCCAATGTGAAGTCGGTGCTACTCACTATACGGATTAGAGACTTGCACTGCGCGTCATAAAGAGCATCTCAAACAAACTACAGACGTTCTTTAACAGTTGTCTTCGCTCAATACTCAAGATCAGATGGCCAGCCAGAAAAGATCAGCAACAGCATAGGATGTCTGGGAGCGAACCAACCAGGAACCGATTGTGAAACAAATAGGCAGGAAGAAATGGAGATGGATTGGCCATACTCTGAGCAAAGAAACCATCAAGTGAGTGACATCACCAAACAAGACATTGCTCGAATGGAACCCGAAAGGGAAGCTGCGAGTTGGTTGGTGGTCAGTGCAAGGGTGACTTAGAGGCAGTCATGTGAAGAGGAGATGGAAACGTGTGGGCAGACTTGGAGCCAGGTGAAGACTGCAGCAGGGAACCGAACGCAATGGAGACGCACGGTTGAAGCCCTATGTTCCTCTAGGAATTAAGGGGAACAACAATAATAATAATAATGAAAGACTTTATCAAAATAAATTTTATTCAAAATATTTTTATTTCACTTTTCCCCATATTGTTTTGATACTTTTTGTTGCACATCTCAAAGTACTAGCGTTATATATATATATATATATATATATATATATATATATACAAAGTGTGTGTTCTCAATAAATACAAAAGTATGCTTTCACTGAGTAGTAGTTATACCACTGTGCTAATTATATTTTCCATTTCTAAACTTTAGCTGAAAACCTCCCAGGGTGTATTGAATGATACTGAGAATTCTTCAAATTCAGGAAATCTGGCACATTTACAGCAGGAACACAATCGTTTAGCTGTACTCTGTCGTCTACTGATCATTGAGCGTCTTGACACCTTGGATGAAATCAATGCTGATGATTCCAAGAATTCGTAAGTTTTTGATCATTCGAGTGTACATCGATGGATATTATTTAATGTGTATTATCCGTTGTGGCAACTATCTTTTACAGAATATTTAAGTTGTTATCCCTTCTGTGCATAATCTAAACTTATAGGACGTTATCACCCGGCCGATAGCTGCTACCTTGACGTGATGTTCGGGCTTGCATATCGCAATGACCCAACGAGCTACACTGGCTCGAACTTATGTTCCTGTAGGTCCTACCATGCCAGAAAGGTTGTTTGGATAGCGGCTAGACAAAAAGCAGCTGCCCAATTCAATACTATGATTAAAACAAATTCACAAAATATCATGCCGGATCGGTCGGGCCCAGATTAACAGCGACCTCGCTTCCCGCTGCCGTGTCACAGGGCAGAAGTGATAAATATGCTACAGAGACACACCAAATGAAAAAGAACAAACAAAAACAGGCCGCGTGTGACCGGCCTCAAGCAGTTGTCCCCTGGGCTCTGCGGTCACGCAACACTAACCTTTTCTCTATTTCAGGTACCCGAAGACTCAACCAACTTCCACGGTGTCGGCAGCCGGGAAGTAACAACCGTCCACACACTTCCTATAGGACGTTATCAGTCGACCTTTCACCTAGGACCTGTTCTGTTTTTTGATGTGTTTTTTGTTAACGCTTTTATACTCCGTTTAGAGCAATAGACATTATTGTCGCTTATCGGGAGTAGTGGCAATACGTCAGAGGTGTTCAATCATGGAATGCCCCCTAACCACGCATATGGTCTGGGTTCGATTCCAGATCGATGCGCCCCTTAACCTCGTTTTTCCCATTACTAAGGCCGATAAACGAGGTGGGTTGGGCTTAAGGATAGCAATCAATCCCCCCCCCCCATTCATAAAGACCATCGCTACTGAAAATTGAAAGCTTGGAGTCCTTTTTATACACTTGAAAAGCAGAAAGCATGAAAAAAATTTAGTGGCAGTCAGAGTGATGGAAATGCATGTCTACAGAAGATTGAGTGCGTCACTAGCCAGAACCTATCCTGCAGCTAAGTTGATTCCCGTCTATCGGACAACATGCTCCTTAGTGCAGTCAAAAGTCGACAGATACTCCCCATTCATGTTAACTCCAACTGTGTATACAAATTTACGTGTATGTGCGGAATTAGTTGCATTGAGAGAACAGGAAGAAGAGGATACCTCCGATTTGCTGAACATGTACCGATAAGTCGACGTCTCAAGGGCATCTCCTTGATACGTGTCATTAGGTGGAAATCTCTAATTCCTTTAGTAATGTTTACTGATGACGTTTCGAGCACAATTTACTGCTCATAATCATATCAAGGTACTCACAAAATTTTCTAACTTCCTTTATATAACTCTATTATTTTCTATCGCTTGATTTGATTAGTAGTAGTATTTTCCATATTTCCGGTATGAGTGATGAGTCATTCCTATTGCATGTGTTGTGTGTAGACCACTCGATGAACCAGGATTCAGTAATCAGTCTCTCTCTCCACCTACCTAGATTACTTTTTAGAATTTCAACCCTCTCCCACCATGCTATTGTGTGGTTGTGTGTTAATGCATGCATTGCAATTGCCGAGCTTTTTTCTAAATTACTTATCTTCTCTGGGTCAACCATTCTTACCTTAGCTAAATTCTTATGTTCTGACAATCTGACTACTCCTGACCTACTAGTTTGACCTATGTAGTTGACCTCACTCACAGTCATTGCAGGGTATTTTGTAAATTATATTATTTTGTCTAATTAGGTTAACTAGTAGGTTAAAGGACCCAGTTGATCCAATTAGACAAAATAGTATAATTTACAAAGTACCCTGCAATGACTGTGAGGTCAACTACATAGGTCAAACTAGTAGGTCAGGGGTAGTCAGATTGTCAGAACATAAGAATTTAGCTAAGGTAAGAATGGTTGACCCAGAGAAGATAAGTAATTTACAAAAAAGCTCAGCAATTGCAATGCATGCATTAGCACACAACCACACAATAGGGTGGGAGAGGGTTGAAATTCTAAAAAGTAATCTAGGTAGGTGGAGACAGAGAGAGGTTGATTACTGAATCTTTGTTCATCGAATCTACACCCAACACGTGCAATAGGAATGAATCATCACTAATACCCGAAATATGGAAAATAATACTAACAATCAAATCAAGTGAAAAACAATGGAACTATATAAATGAATTTAGGAACTTGATATGATTATGAGCAATAAATTGTGGTCGAAACGTCATCAGTAAACATTACTGTATAACACTGTGAGACTTTATCAAAACAAAATTTACCCATAATGGAATTACACTTTACCACAGTGCACAAGTTTTATTCTTATATCAATGTACATGAACTTAGTAATAGTTTATTTAGGCTGTAAGCAGCTGAGCTGAACAGAAGTCAACAAAATAAACAGTGATGTTACCATTTTGTTCTGCAAAATCTGTTGTTCTTGCTTTATTCCAATTTATAAAAGGGAGGAATAAATGTATGAAATTTCGAAAAACATTTACATGGTATTAGTCGGTTTCTAACCATTTAATGTAAACATATTTCCATTTTGAAAGAGATGGTTCCTTGCTAAATTCGGAATCGTTAGGTGTCAGCTAAAATCTACTGATAGTCTGGCTTCATCAGTAATGGTTTCACTGAGAAGAAGACTAACAAATATTTGCTGTTTAAGATATTGATTTGTTGAATATATCAGTCAGAGACACACCTCTATAAACATAGTAGTCAAACCAATCAGTTAGAACTCATTAAAAACTTTTTTTTATTGCTTTACGTTCCCAGTGGAACATAGGGCTTCAAGCTAGAGGCTTGAAATTTCCGTATCAGTGGTGATTATTTTTACAGGATGGGGTTGTTAGCCTCATGCCCAACCTTTCCTCTTTACCAGCTGTATTTCTGGCTTAGCGAGGTAAAGGAGTGCGTCGGTGGCCGGGATTCGAACCCCGGACCATGTGCATGATCGGCGAGCATCCTAACCGCTGTGCCACCGATGCACGTATTATCTTGAGTTACTTAAGTTTTATAGTTTCATAAAAGAAGGTAGTTAAGCGAAGAGTCTGTTTTCTGCGACGAATTCACCCACTTAGTTGTACAATACCAATTTTATTCACTTATTTTTGTATGTGTGTACATTAGGTTTGTCAGAAAAGAATAAAAATAAGTTGGGGTCAAAACTTTCAAAAATGTGATGAGTCATCACATTTTGTAACTAGAGGTGAAGTAAAGATTGGTAAGAGGGTAGTAGTGTCAAAAAAAAACATATTTATTAACACTTAAAGGAAGTTAAACAAGCGTAATACAGTTACGTAATAAGATGAACAGTTTAATTAGTGAGTTGTGATTAGCATGCACACAGAATTTTTCCTTTGTTTCCATGTGCATCTTGACCACAACTCACTCAATAAACTGTTCATCTTATTACGCAACAATATTACGCTTATTCATCTTCTTTTATGTGTTAATAAATGTTTTTTTTTAACACCACTCCCCTCTAGTTACAATTTGATGACTCATCACATTTTTGAAAGTTTTGACAACAATATAACCCTAACTTACTTTTATTTTTTTCCGACAAAGCTGATGTACACACATGCAAAAATAAGTAAGTAAAATTGCTATTGTACAGCTAAGTGAGTGAATTCGTCGCCGAAAACAGACTCATAGTTTCACTGAGTAACTTTGCCGTTCAAGAGTTACTACCCTGGTTTCATTAACACCCAATTTTCTTGACTGTCTTTGTATTACGTAACTCCACCCAAAACTTACTAATTCTCACATGTTCAGTTGTATTTTTTTGTTTGACAAACTCAATGTACACATACATACAAAATAACCTTTATATACTTGAATAAGGCATTAAGAAGACAAATTTCGCGAGATGATATCGTCATTTCGTAGTTTCTTTACAACCGCTTTACAACTAACATGGTTAACAATAATAAAATAAAGTTCATGACAATTATATATTTGCGATTGTAGAGCTAAGAAAAGGAATTCGCCGCCGAAAAGAGACTCTTCGTTGAACTACGTGTTTCGTTTTCATTAATGTCTGGATAGGGTTTATTCAAGAGTTCGTTTAAAACAAGTTATTGTCTAAAGCAACTTGAAAAAAACCATGAATATTACTACTCATTGCCATTGGATATTGACTGAAAATAGTAGGAATCGGTTTCAGTTCCAACATTGGTCAGGGTAATAAGCGGTTAATAATATTACTATTATTATTCCCTTGGGTTCTGAGTGGAAATAAAGGCTACAACAGCACACATTCATTTCGTCCGGTTCTCTGCAATCCTCCTAGGCTGTCTCCATGATTGTCCTCCTCTTTACACAGTCCCTTCCATGTCACCCTCGGACATATGCCAAACTCGTTCTTCCCCACACTTGTATTTCATTCGATGCCCTGGCTCGCCATGTCACCCGACCACCACCTACTCAGTATGTGTCCGATCCATCTCCATTTTCTTCTGCGTATTTGTTTACCACAATGCGTCCCTTGATTTGTTTGTCCCAAGGGTTTCGTGCTGCTGATTCTTTCTGGCCAACCGGCCATTTGATCTTCAGTATGAAGCCGTCGGAGGCACCTGTTCATAAGTCTTCAGTGGTCTGCTGGAAATGCATTTCGTGATGCACACGCCAAGTTTCCGACTCATACAGAAGCACTGACTGACTAATTAACTAACTGACTGACTGGCCTACTTATCATTGGTGTTGAACAGAATCCGAATTTTGTTGTCTATGCTGTGTCTGTGGCTGTGTCGGAGTTCAGCTCAAAAGATTTCCAAACTGATTGAAGAGTGGTGATGGTCTGTCTTGTCCTTCCGATGCTGACTGGTTCTGAAATCATCATCCGTGCAACGTGCCCGTAGTTAAAACGATGCTTCCTAGGTCAGTGAAGGAAGTTATCTCTCTGAAATTTATTCCGTTTATGGTGATTGGTGCTTGTCGTTGTTGTTGTTGGTGGTGGTCGGTTGGTTGGTTATTTGCAACACCTCC